CCATTTCTAGTAGAAACTTCACACAATTGGAATAACATTCATTTGGGGATATAGCATTCCTCTTATTACTAATTTGTACATAGCTGCTTGTTAATTTCAAAATAGAATAAAGATGCATATTGTTTATCAAAAAGTGAAGGATATAGAACTTTCATTTTTTTTTTGCATACATAGTCATAAAAAAAATCTCCAGAAATTTATTTATTTTTTCTTTTAGTATAAGATATGAAGTTTTCAACATTATTCTAAATTTGTCAAAATAAACATTTTCTTAATCAATATAATTATAAGATATTTGTAACTCATTGAAGTACTTAATAAGTATATCATTAATCATATCAAATTATTATATTAGTAGTAGCGTATTTTCACTTGTTATTATCAATAAAACTTGCTTATTTTTCATATTAATTACAACCTACAACACTTTTTATGTATAAATCACTTATTACACTTAATTTATAAGAAGGATAGTGTGGGCAGATGCGTAATAAACAAGATTTGAAAATTAAAAACTTCAAATTATACTCTTTTTTTTTTTTTGTAATTTGGACTTATTAAATGAATTTTTTAGACACTAATAAATGACATGAAACTAATTAACTCGTATATGATATTTGCTTAACTTCTTCTTGTGTTTTTGCTAGGTGAAAATCCTGACTTTGCGATCTGAAGTAGAAATCAAATTAATCTCATCTTTTTTTTTGTATATGTAGGCTGATAAGTCTACAATAGTTTATGAAGCAGTAAACCATATAGTAAAACTGCAGAATACTTTCAAAAAACTTAAAAGTCAAAAGCTAGAAAAGCTAGAAGAATACAACATAGGATTGGCGGGTTCACAAAAAGTTTATAATAGTTGGGAGAAGTATGTGGTTGATCAAGGATCAACATGTAATTCTACAGCTATTACACCAACAAATCATGGTGCTAGTCCCCTCATTCCAACAGGTTTTATGACATGGAGTTCACCAAATGTGATACTAAATGTATGTGGTGAAGATGCACATATTAGTGTGTGTTGTCCTAAGAAGTCAGGGCTATTTACCATCATTTGTTATGTTTTGGAGAAACATAAGATTGACATTGTGTCTGCTCAAATTTCATGTGATCAATTCAGAAGCATGTTCATGATCCAAGCTCATGTAAGTCCTTTCATTTTCTTCAAAATAATATATTGGTCATTTTGAATATTTTGAATTAGGGTTTTTAGTTAACATTCTCTTCGATTTATTTTACGTGTCATTATTTGATTGATCAGAAGTTGTTCATTCTTTAGTAAGTTCCGCGTCTAATTAAACATATACCTTCACATAAAATGGAAGTACAAAAAAAGTATATGCCTATATATTTTTTAAGAAATGCCTCCTCCCACCTAGTCTCACCGTGAGGTTGAAATTCTCTATAATAGTTTAGTCATAGATTATGTTTGAAAATTATTTAGATTGATTTACCTGAATTAAGTGTTTAACATAACTATACAATCTTTCTACTTTTTACTTTCTTAAAATTTTAGTTAGTATATTATTATTGCTTAGTACTAAAAATATGTTTGATCGATGTATATTCAGGCAAAAAGTGGAAGAGACGTAGCTCAATTCTCGGAAGCATTCACAGTGGAAGAAAGGTTGAAACAAGCTGCAACTGAGATAATGGCACTGGCAACCTCCAAATGATCAGTTTAGTTTCAAACTAAAGTTCATTCGATAGTAGAGGATGGACGGTTGTCTATAAAGACCATCATATTTCATCCGGTAGAGGATGAATGGATGTGGTTGTAATGACTATTTTATTTACTTTTACATTTCTTTGTCTGTCGCTGTTTAGGCATCTCTATTTACTTTTATCATCGGAAAAAGATGAACAATTGTGACCGTAAAGGCTAATTTATTTTGTTTTGTATTTTATGATAAACGTTTGTCTCTGTATTGGAGGAATCTAAACTATGGAAAGTTTCTTCCAACGATATTTATAAGTATCAAAATCCTTGATTTATATGTTTTGTGTGGATGTATGTTTATCAATTTCAAGAACGATGTTTTAATTTTCCAACCATCACCTACTCTTTTTATAAATTTAAAAAATATTTTTTTAAAAAAAATAATTACATCGTAGGAGTACTTTTATTCTACTTCATAAAATTCAAGTATGTCAAGATATAAAACATGAATCATATTTGTAATTATGATTTTTCTTAAAATTGAAGGCTTATTATTATAAAATTTAATTCGATTTTAAGCGCTTATAATTAATATTTTGAGTTAGCTCCTAATCCTCGACTATGATTCTACAATATTTTTCTAAATTATGATGTATAAATAGTCTTGAGATAAAAGAAAATTCTTATCTACCAAATAGCATAAAGAAGCAATAAAGTGAAATTAGTCATTGTTATTTCCTACCAAACAAACACTTAGAGATTAAAAAAAAATTAATCATGTTCCTTAGCTTTTCTAAAGAGGGTAAGCTAAAAAGTTATTTATATTTTGTAATGTAAAAAGGAATTATCTTTTTACTCGATTGATTTTTAATTGAAGTATAACATTATGAAATTGATCTTTTATCAGCCAAATCTTTCTACTTATTGGTGTTTTTTTTTCTTTCTCACCTTGTGGTGCTATGAAGATTGATACGTTAGTTATATATCTGGTTAGTATATAATTAGTTTAATATTAGTGTTTCAATTACTGGCCCAGCACTTAATTAGACCAAATATCAATACGTATCACACATGAACAGAAGCACAAGCCTAATTATAATGGTTCTTTTGACAATTAGCATGTGAGTATAACTTTTCTATTGGTTAAGAATTTCTATTTGTTTAAGGGGTTGTTTAGTATGATGTATAAGAATAGTACTATTGAATAGGATTATATGATGCTTGATATATTTATTGTAGAATTGCATGATAGATATAGAGGCATGAGGCTTGACGTTGATAACATGTTTACGAGGTAATTAAATATAGTTGTGTTTTTCTATCACTAAATTTTGTGATACGTTTCTGATATTGTATCAACTTTTATAGATTTATTTTTAGTTTTATATCTCGACTCAAGAGATTTTCATTCTTATAAATAAATTATCTAGACCAACGATCGATCTTTGAAGGATTATTGTTTCTATTAAAATTGTAAATGTGTTGGTTCATCTATTTTTTTAACCTATTTTATCCTTCAAAATAGAGAATTCATTTGAAACTATACATTGGAGTTCGATAATAATATATAAAGTATAATTTATAAATGAAATGTGAAAAAATTATATTAGATATGCATACGAAGTTTATTTCTATTTTATTTTGAGAAGAATTTTTTTTTGGAAGACCTAATTCAATTAAAGTAATTTAAAACAAATAATAGAAATAACGAAAAAAAATACTGAACAGTAGCAATAATAACAATAAATCAGTAGTATATAACAAACAGACACCATAAACAAATATATGATCTATTAAAACTGAATAAATATTTATTTTATAATAAATATTATATCTAAATATATGATTAACAGTATGTAGGAAAAATTACTCAAATGCATATCTTATTTTATCATAATCTCTAAGATTCCCTACCATTTAAAAAAATCTCCTCTTGGATACATCACTTCCTTCTCACTTATACATATCTATCCCTCTCGGATACATCCATCCCATATGTATCTGGATCCTATCCCTTTTCGAATACATTCCTTCCCTTGCGGTACACATCTCTCTTATGTATCCAGGTATCCTATTCCTTCTCTCATACATCTCTCGCTTATTATCTAAAATATCTTTCAAAAAAGTAGTAAAATCTGGCATTAAGATAAAAAAGCCAAAAATAAAATAAAATACAAAAAGACAAAAAATCATGATTACAATTTTACAACATACGCAAGAATAGAGAGAGGCTAGAAAATACTCAAAAAATGAATATAACAAAAAGGATCATATAATGAGAAATCCCTATTTGCAACTCCTCTTACGTCACACCACAGACAACTATTCTCTTACATCGTTGTATACTTTCTTTTCATTTTCGTTCGATATTTGATACTTATTTTGAGTCTCCATTCATTTATGTTGAAAGGCTAAAAATTTATAGTTAAAAATTAAAAAGTAATTGTTTATTTATTTAGCCAGTTTCAAGGTTTAATAGCTATTTTTACTGTGAAGAAAAAATTTGACAATAAATTACCTTTCATATATGTGAAATTCATTATATTATTCTAGAGTTTGAATTTTTAATTTTACGTTAAATCTCAATACATTATGTTGAAATTTCAAGAAAAATACTAAAATTCAAATAAAAATAGCCCCATAAAGCATGAGAATTGAACCTCGGATGTTGAAGGTACAATTGAGTATGTGTGACCACCTCATCTTAAAATTTAAGCTGTCAGCACACCTTTATTATTTAACTAGTGAAATTATTTGCGCTTCGCGCAATTATAAAAAATATTTATAAGATAATAGTATGAAAAATGTAATA